ATAAACAACGCATAAACAACGTAAAAATAACGTTCCGTTTATTCACTCCTTCGTGCGTGTACACGTCAGTCTATTATTTAAGTACCCAAGTACTTAGTACACATTGTGTCACTTAGGCCGATCAAAGACAGTCTACTGTGTTTTATGTGAAAAAACAAAGAGATTAACCATGAGCACATGTGCTGCAAATCGATTTTTCGCATTCACCATCTTATTTTTGTATCGATACTGTATGAAACTACACAAAATCAGTCAAACATAGATTGTGTGTTCGTATATTTCCCTACACATGTTACCGCTAGCACAAGAAAAATATATTGAGCGGTGTGTAGTATAAAATATAATAAACTCAGACGTCGACTCCAGATACAAACTATCTTTGATCACTCTGATACATCAACCAGTCCTTATTACACGCATATTTTCAGCCACTCCCACGCCGAACAAAGTATAATTTGAGAAAATATTTAAATATTATCTTTTTACCAATGTCCACCCATTCCTTTACGAAAAATTCAACCCACCCCCCCCCCCCTCCCTCCTCACCACATATGTTTTAAGTGATCCTCTCTTCCGAGAAAAAGTCTGAAAGAAACACTGAATCCATCGAACGAGTAAACCACGTCGAAAGTTTTAAAACTTCAAGACATGTGTTATTTTATTACTTGATTTTTTTTAAAATGTAAAAAAAATTTAAAAATATAATAAACAGGTTTGTTAAATTTTATTAGTGCCAAAAACTAGCGAGATTCGGTTGACCCATTGTCGTTCTATCCTTCATCCTATTTTGTGTACAGTTAATGGCCCATGGCAATCTCAGTAAAACATTGCGACATAAAAAAAATGAATGTCATCTTTTATTTCAATGTAATGTTATCAGTGAGGTTTTTTGTCTATTCTACTACTGTACATTTATCTACAAAAAAAAGAGCCACATTTTACGATTTAAAAGCTTTTACTTAACTTGCTTCCTCTGTCGTCAGTATATTCTCCTGTCTGTTATCATCACTTCTCTCTAGATCGAAACGGGCGATCGAAATTTCTGGCATTTTTAACTGAATAATTTCTCTAAATTCGGCACGTGGGTCAAGACCTAATGGCTATGCAATACGACAATAAATTTGACTTAATTAAATGCCTAAATAATTTTTGTGGTGGTAAATGTTTGATATAGGTGCAGGAGTCATAAACTATTGTAGCCAAAGAGTGCACAGGTTAGGCTCAGTTTCTGAATTTCGTAGGCTTTTCTTACTGCTACTATTCCATTATATTACACGCGCATCATGATGTTCATTTGGTGCGCAATAGTTTTTATTCATGTAACTATATTGTAAATAAATTTTTTATAGTATTGGAAAGCTAAGCGGGAGTGATCTCCCCGAAACTAGGTTGTCGCCTAAGATTTTAAACTTCATTATTGTTCAAGTGGATATAAACATTTAAAAACAACATTTATTTATCTTTAATGCGATACCAATTTTAATTATCAAATTTAATCGGTAGCATAGAAATAATTTGTGACAAAACGAGAATGTTTTTACAAGCTTTTATTTAACTCACTTCCTCGTCAGTCTGTCTAGAATCTAGGTCGAAACGCCGAGCGAAATTGCAGGCACCTCTAACTGACAGATACGGTTCGTAATTGGTACGTGGATCGAGACATAAAGACAATGCCTCGTGACATTCAATTTGACTTAATTGGTCGCCTAATTACTTTTATATGAATTAATTATTAAATGGCTACGGTGATATGACTGAAACTCAGTGATAACGTGGGCTAGTTTTTAAGGAGTGTTGCTTTGACGCTATTGTTGTTTAAATCGTTGTTTAGCAGAAATGTGTCGTCTTCTAGATTTCTTTCCATTCAAGTAGACCTACACGGCGGGCGAAATGAGCGGGCTAAGTTAGCTGATGTCTCGATCAGGTATTTTGTAGGTATTGTTTTTATCCTGCATGATTTCTTAAAAAAATAATTAAATTATTTTAGTAGGACGCAATATATAATTCTCTATAGTTTGCAGTATTTTTGTGTACGTTTACCACAATATTAAATAAAGTTATTCACGTTTTGCTTACATTTATTATGTTTTGCTAGTTTTTCTCAGCGATTAGACAAAAATGTACAAAACGTATACGGTAGTGCCTGTGTTATTTTAACCCAACGCAATGGACAATTATGTCACGGCATCTCTGTTAAGGCCCTATACAACGGTAATCGACAGTCAGACCTAAACAGAAATATAGGAAATGAACAGTCTATGACTTAAAGTTTTAAAAACACTAATAGGCCTTTACTTTTATTGAACGTTTACATCGGGTTTAGAGGTCAAAGGTTGCGTTATTAAAAAAGGGACGCCCGTGGAACACCCCCATAAATGGATGACACTTAAGAGGATGGAGGTGTCGTTTTATTACGCGTCTGTCGTGATTACTGTTTTTCGTTGAACCTAGTTTAAACCTCTGAATGTTATTGATAATTTACTTCATTGAGCTGTTTAAAATTCTTTGTTTTCTTAATCTTATTGCCTCAGTACAAACAAGTGCCTACAAGCTTATCGTTTACTCTATAACGACATTATTATATTATATAATATATAAATATATATTACATTATTATTCTCATGGGTATTTTTTTCATTTAATGTTTGTGTGAATTATGAGCTTTCACAAACGTAAGATAATACTTGAATGACAGTCGAATGACTGTTTGGTCTGATTCAGAAGTCGGAGACTCCTTTGACCTTAAGTAAAAGGCCATTTATTTAGTACGGCTGAGGTAGGCCGATCTCTCCTCTCAGTGTTTTGTGAGTGTGTGTGTCGTGGTGGATGGGAGGCTAAATATTATCTTACTCAAACTAAATGAGTACATATTGGTTAGCCTGTTTGTATTCATGAACATAATTGACAGCTTTTTAAATTATCAATTTTGTGAACATTAGTGTTGGAAGCTCCTTTAATCTATAAAAACCTTGAATTGATGTATAAATATTTATATATATATTATATGATGTAACCCAAAAAGTTTCAGCTCGGGGCCCAACCCTAGCTTAATCCACCTTTGTTTATACTATTCTGTAGGACATGATTTCCCTCTAATGGGGTCGGGACTAGCCAAGGGTTTTGTGAAAATACAACAATCCATCCATTGTTTTCAAAAACTACAATAAAAGAAATATGACAGACAGATGCTGAGGCAATAATAAATCTGTTTTTTAGTTGTTAATCGTCCGTATATGAATCCTATAGTGAAAAAGCAATAAAGACACGGCTCAAATAACAAAACAGTAAACACTAACGACTTCCTTCATAGCGTGTAGTGTTTGGGGTATTTTAAAAACATAAAACAATCGTAGCTACATGTATTTCACTGCTTAGTAAAACAAATAGAGGTTTTTAATTCAAATCTGAACAATTTGGAAAATTATTAATCCTTGAGAGACATAAGATTCAATATTTACAAGAAGGTAGGTTTAAAAGTCATTTCAATGTATTTTTTTTGTCATTCAGCCACTAAATCAGCAGTACGAACACCCGACCCTTCTTCCACTCCCTTTGGCATTTTTACTTTCTCGTATATACGAAGTGAAAAGAAAGTCTTGTAATCGTGCAAAAAAAAAAAAATCGAGATTTTTTACAAATCTCGACGTTTTACACATCACTTATACGGAAAAACATAATTTTGCAATCTTGTCCGTATGTCTGTGTGTGTCTGTGTGTGTGTGTAAACACGATAACTAGAGTACCGTTACAGCTAGGTTGATGAAATTTCAAATATAAGTATAATATTAAAATTGTAGATCCGTATCAACTTTTGAGCGATTTTTGATAACCGGAAGTGGAACTTTTTCTACTTTGAATTTTTCAAAAGCATATAACATGAGTACTATTTCAGTTGGATAAATGAAATTTCACATGTAAGTAAAAGATCTAATTCTCTGCCTTCTATCAAATTTTGAGTAATTACCGTTGACCGGAAGTAATAATTGTCGCTATTTCCGATTTCTCAAAAAACGCATGTGAATTTATAAAGCACTAATAATATTCCGCAGTATTATACACATCTTTATTCGGCATTCACTTAGTGCGCAATTCTTTTTTCTATGAGATTCTCTTCTATTTTAAAAAGTTTAAGTATTTAAAATGGATTAAAAAATAAAAATAAAAAAAAGTTATAATAAAACACTGTTTTTTTTTTCTAATGTTTGATTTTAATTATAAATATTGGTTCTCATTATCTTTGGTTCTCATTTATTAAACAATCTTTAGTTTTTTTTGTCCCAGGACGTTTATATCGAGATCATGTTTTTGTCCAGCGAGATTTATGTCGAGTGGTTTATGTCTAGGGGTTTATGTCGGGGGTTTATGTCGGGGGGGGGGGGGGGGGTTATGTACAAGATTTATGTCCAGGAAGTTCTGACCGGAAACCAGAAATATGACGATACCAAAACGTGTTTTGTTATCTCGCCCTGGTGAAAATTTATTATTGTCTAGTGCTTTCGCGTTGTTGTATTTTAACTATAGTCAAATGTAACTGCTAGTTCTATCGTCTACTCTGACAAATTCCTATCACAAATCATATGACTCTGGTGTTTGTCTTTACACAGAGGTGTAGCAACGGGGGGTATGGGTACATATGTCCCCGGGCGCCGACCTTAGGGGGGGGGGGGGCAAATTGGGTTGGAAAAAAATTAAAAGCTCGTTTAAGCTGCAGTTTTAAATTATAAATGTAAAAAAATATGTGGGGAGGGGGCGCCAAATTTAAAATGTGTCCACAGGCGCCGCGAGGGGTCGCTACGCCTCTGTCTTCACATCACCGAACCCTTTGGGTTCGATAGTGGCCAGGTTAAGTACCACTGAGATAAAGTCATGCTTAGTGGGAGCGGCAAGCTTGACATAAAAAAAATGCTTATATTAATTACAACGGTACATTTAGAATATTTGGTTATTTTTTTTTTAATTTTTTTTTTTTTGCTCATTAAAAAATACAGAAAGAAAGAAAAATGAGGAAGAAGTGTTTTATCAGTGCTCTAACAACAATGGCTGTTGTCTCTATGTTCCTCATCGCTGATCAGAAGTGGCCGAATGCTGTGGATCATATTTACACATTTACCACAACTGATCCAGGTGAAGATGGTTTTATTTGTAAGAGATTCTTTAAACATGCTTACAATTAATACTTAGACAAAAACTAAAGTAAGAACTACTCATGCACATTGCCCAATAATTATTTTTGTTTTAAAATCTATTTACCAAGTTGAATCAATAATTAAGTCTGGCTGGTTTAATCACATGCCAGTGATGTTGCACAACTTAATGCTAAATAGAATGGAATATTAAGAAAAGTTAATTTTTAACGAGACGTAATTTGCAATTTTTTTTATCTATTCTAGGTAAAGAAGTAGAGAATCAAGATTTTGGGAAAGGTAAAATAGCCTTTAGAAACCATTATGTTTGTGTGTGTGTGTGTGTGTGTGTTTGATTGTATCTTTTTGTGTACCCGTCTGAGGTTGTGTATTTATAATAGCTTAGATGCGTTTGTGTTTGTGTGTGTTTATCTATGACTGTCCATATTTGTCTATGCTAGTCTCTGTTTATTTTTGTCTGATTCCACGTTTTCGGGTGCTTCGACCAAAATTGCTTTATCTATAGGGGTTTTGACCATAGTTTGTCCACATGCATTTTTAATTTCTTGAATACGGAGTATAAAGGAAGTATTTTAATCTGCAGAAAATCGAAATCGAGATTTTCATAAATCTCGTGTTAACCTCCCCGAGTTGATGTTTGTATGTCTGTTTGTGTGTATATGTGTCTGATTGTGTGTGAACACGACAACTTGCGTACCGTTTCAGATATGTTAACGAAATTTCGTGTATAGGTATCCAATCAAATGTGTAGATTTGTACCAACTTTTGAACGCTATTTCGTAATCGGAAGTGATACTTACTTCACTTCCGGTTTTCTAAAAGCCAATAATTTGAGTACCGTTTACGTTAGGCGGACTAAATTTATAAGTAACACACTTATAAGCTACTCTCGATTTTCATTATAGTAATTTAAATAGTAGTCTATTATTACATATTTAAAGAAAATCGGTTTTTTGTGCTTTTTAGTGTATTATTACATAATAGCTTGTTATTAAAACGTCTTTCTTGAATTTTTTTCATGCATTTTTAAAATCGATTATTACATACTTAAACTTTTAAAAATAGAATAGGATAAAGAATTGCGCACCAAGTGAAAAGCAAACAATACGTGTATACTAGTGCGGAACATAAGTACTTTATAAGATATTAGTAACATCTTTGGAAAATTTTGAAGAACCGCTAACGAATTCTTTGCTTGATTGCATATTTTCAAACTTCGAAATTCAAAAGAAGGAATGGACAGCCCTAGACGTCCTAAAGGAAAACTGTAGAGAGCAACAGGAAAACTGCAGACTAGGGCGACTGAAGAAGCTGTTGAAAGACAGACAGACAGACAGACCATGTGACAGAGGAACTAAAATTTAGAACTTTACAAAGAGAAATAAACGGATAAATTATCAAAACATAAAAAAACACTAATTTTATTTTATTTTATTTATAACACCAGGTCCATTAGCCCTAATACGACAAAGTGGCCAGGTAAAATCTCTGCTTGGGATAAACCTGGAGAACATGACGTCACAGGAGATGTTGATGACCCTCCACAGTTACCCAGACAACATCGATGTAAGTTTTAGCTGATTGATGGATTGCAAAATACACTTATTGGTGTTATTAATTATTGTAAATATCACATTAACTAATTAAACAACATGTTGTCCTAGTTGTTATAACTGTGGACCATAAATTAAACTACTTGTATTCCCGGGCTTCTCCACGGTGAATTTTTTTAAATGTACTTACTTGGGAACAGAATAAAACCAAACAAAAACACAAAAGACAATAAAAACGAAACGCGCAAACATAAACGCAAAAGAAAACCCAAACAAACGCAAACGCCAACAAACACTCAATTGCAAACAAAATACAAACACAAAAGTTAATACAAACGCAAACACATACGATAATAAACGAAAACACAAACGCAAACACAAATTCAACCGCAAACGCAACACGCAAACACAAAACACATGCGAAAAAGCAAACAAAGACACAAACGCAAACACAAATGCAAACACAAAAGAAAACAGAAACGCAAACAGAAAGGTTTCAAAGACACAAAATTGACCGCTGGCGATGAGCATTCACTGGCAGTGATTTATCCGCCAGTCCGATTAAGTGGGGGTTAGTGGGGGGGGGGGGGGAAGGGGGAATAAGTGGTTTGTATCTCTTTTTACTATTCAGATTGTGCTCTTCTAAAACCTGAGAAACCTAAGACTGTTCTAACGTTAATTAACTCGAGGGCTAATCGAGTGATGTTTTGCCTTGAGACTGTTATAATTTATATTAATAATTAGCTTTTTTCTATATGTTTTTTTTTCATTGATTAGGTGAGAGTTCCTTTGAAATATTTATTTTAACACGATGTCATAGTATTTTAAAAATATAACCTGATCTTATTCCTATATTCCCATATAGTCAATCTATAAATAGCCGTTGCTACTAGTGTGTTTTCGTCTTCTGTTCTTAGTCTAGTCGTGTTAATTAAGTTAAGTGTAATTGTTTTATTTGTTGTGGCTGTTTGATTGGTGGTTTTTTTATATTTTCACAATTGCTTGCTTTGCTTTCAGTACTAATATACAATCTAAATAAATGTGAACAAGTAAGAAAGAAGTATTACAATTGTAAATTTGCATCAGTCCCAACAAACCGATGATGAAAACTGTAATACTAAAGTGAACATTGAAGGCAAACTGACGCCGTACATTACATGTCTGAGGCGAAAAAAAATGTGGTGTTTACTTTTATGGTTCTAAAATCTATAACGTTGACGTAATGACGGACGGACTGACTGACACACTACCGCCAGCTTTATATTATAGATATCCCTCAGCTAGTCAGTGAGAGGGATTCCACCACCATTTTTCTCCCTAACCGTTATTGAATTCATCAGAGAGTTCCCATTTTTGTTATGACGACATTAACGCAGACGAATTACTTGACGGGATCGAATAATTTCATTGGTTATTGCATTAGTCACATGACATTCACTAGAAAAACTTGGACGGAAACTAAATTCACGACGAAGAGACGAATGCTACCATCCCTAGCACAACAAGACTCTAGCTCCTTTAGCCTTCATCTCTAGCAACAACGATCATACACTAAAACGTCACATTCTCGCTTACTGCATCATAAAATCAACGTCTTTTATTTATGTCAAACCATTCATAACGCACATACTCTCGTAGCCTTACAATCCTACTTTTCATAAAACTAATTATGAATTTTTAAATACCCCATAAACCTCTTAAAAAAGATTTATTTTATCACTTATTGATTTTTACTAAATTAAATTTAGCGGCTCTTTAAAAAATGGTATATTTGGTAAATTGTAACTTTTGGCTCTTCCGTCCCAAAAGGTTGCCGACCCCTGCCATAAACCTCTTAAAATAGATCTATTTTATCAATGATCGATTATTACCCTTAATGGCAGTCGACCGAGGCCGAATTAGAAGTCCCAAAACTAGAGTAAAGCAGTTAACTTTGTTGTATCGGTTGCAGATGGCGTGTAGTCTAGATAGTTATTCGAGGTGGCGAGACCGGCTTCTTAGTGACATGTTACAGAAATGCCATCAATGCTAAATGCAACTTATCTACTCCAATTTAATCAATTTGCTTCTATCACATTGCAGTTGTATATATTTGTGTTGATGCTAACAGTAGATGAGCAGAAAGACGGTTTATTAAGGGTGTCGTCGGGTATTTTATAATTAAGGAGGGCAGAGTGTCAGAGTACTCGATATTTATTGATTCTCATCCAAATGGTCCCAAATAGTTCTTGCCAGAAAGGATATTTTTTTTCAACCAAAATAGACTACCTTATAACATTTGAGAAATAAGTACAAAATGATTTTCGGTTTTATTAAAACTAGAAATATTCAAACAAACAATTACTAGTAATATAATAGTAATTTAGATAGAACTTTTAATTTAAATTCAAATGTTTTAAGTGAGACTTTTGTTGTGATAGGGGACGATATATTATTTAATAAAAATGAACTATTTCGCTATACCCAATTGATTGCTATTGTGTATTTTATCATGGACAAAGAAACGTTGTGACTTTGATTGATTTACTTTCGTTGGTCACTGCGGTTGGCTTCAATGGAGGGCTTAAGGGCGATTTTTAAAAAATTGAATTGATAAAATAGCTCTAAACGGTTTATATTCAATAACAAAAATATGAAATAAACCGTAATTTATGTTTCCCAAACGGCTTTCTTTTTTAAAAATGTTATTATAATTTTATCGCTTGTCTTATTTTTTTAAAAAGATTTTTCAAAAGTTTTTAATGATTACAAAGACGTTTCAAGCCAATTGTATTTAAAAAGTATTTGCAGTAAAAGCAAATCAATTTTATAAGTGTAAATTGTTTGAGAAAAAATATCAGGCATTCTTGTACAGAAGTAATTACAAGTTTTTGAAGTTTTAAGTAAATTCCTTTTAAATGTTCAAGTGGACAAGAGTTATCATGATACATGGTGATACTCATTATCGGTTTTTCCTTTTTTGTTATTAAGACAAATGAGGTCGCCACAAAAAGCTCATTCCTCATTTACCTGTCGCTGGCAATTTTTTTTAGCATTCTTTAAAGATAGCCATCTTTTGCCAAATGTTTCCTTGCAGTGCGTCTCGTTGTTTTCTTTGCCCCACGATGTTTCCCTTTTACCGCAGACGTCCATTTAAGCGCGATTTCTGTGTTGTCTTAAAATGTGACCCATGTAGCGACATTTTCTTTTTCGATTTTTTTTTGGAATCGGCTTGTATTTGCCGCACTTCGGGGTTTGGTCGTATATATATATATATATATATATATATATATATATATATATATATATATATATATATATATATATTATATATATATATTATATATATATATATTATATATATATATTATATATATATATATATTATATATATATATATATATTATATATATATATTATATATATATATTATATATATATATTATATATATATATTATATATATAATGTGTCTGTGTGGGACACCAAATTGAAAGTTTACCCAGGCCGCCAGAGTGGGTGGCTACGCCTTTGCTGAATTACACATCAGACATTACTTTTAAAGTGTCTGCATTTGGTCTTAGAGGAGATTTTTTTTAATTCTATTCCCCTAGCTACATTTTTATAATCGTTTGATAAAAATTTTATATTATTAAAATTTCATATTATCAAAATTTCGTACATTCAAAATTACATATAATCCAAATTTATTTATAAATCTTCTGTTATTTTAAAAGAAAATTATTCTGTTCAGTATTTGCAATTTTCCTTAATTGTAATTAATTTTAAAGCCTATTCGAATATATAGGCCTACCATGATGAGTTTTCTATATAAACAACATACCCTTTTTAAAATATTAACATATTATTCAAACACTTCTTAATTTAGTATTATGCGATACGACGCATGTTATCCTTTGGACTATAGTGTATTGACAAAAAGGAAAAAAATCCTATTTTAATAAGTGCGTGATTCGTTCACTTTCATAAACACAGACAATATGTAAGAGGAAAGTTCGCATGGGTCGAATCGGCGATGGCGGTTGGGAGATTTGTGACGACCCTGACGTTCGCCCTAGGGATCCGTGCATCATCTACTCCTACGGCATCAACTACGAGTTCTCGTTTGACGACGACGCGGCCAAGGTCTACGGGTGTCACGTGTACTCTTTTGATCCCAGCATGGTCAAGTGGGCGGACAAGGTCAACAGGTAAAATATTTATAGGGCAACACATTCAGAATATCGAATAACGAGCCGACCCGCGGCATATCATACGCCACTATTTAGTTGTTTTATTTTCTACTTTTCAGTCATTCATAATTTGTGAATTCGACAGTACTAATGCTGCCACTGAAAATATTTGCTTTAAAACACTATCAGTAGGTCGTTAAGGACGATACTACCCCCACCCTCCTTTCCCCCAACCCCTACCCTACACCCCCCCCCTGTGAAAGCAGCCTCCTCTTAGTTACCTCCCCTAAGTTTAAAATCGTTTCAAACTAAATTATCTGCCCCTAATAGCAGTCACTAAACCCGGCTCTACGAATGTAAACATTTAGCGTGAACCACAGCTTACCAGACCTTGTGGGGGTGGGGTGGTAGGGAGCGCGCCTATAGCTTGTTTTCTATCGTCTCCAAGAAGAGAATTATATATATAGATTTAAGAAAGCGTGATCATGGCGGATTATGAGGTAAAAGATTTTTGTAAACGGCCGTAATTTATGTGCCCGTTCAGCATCGTATACCCTTCTCTGGGTGGTGATTGAGGATTTATAAAATTTTCAATCAAAGGCATTCAGAAAGTACAAAAATGTATTCGATGTCGAAACATGTGGGCCCTTACAAGATATAGAGAGCGATTGCATATCTTTCTAAACAGTGGCGTAGGCGGAGGGGTGTGGTGGTTAGGGATGGTTATACCCCCCTCCCCCATGGGCCCCTCTGTATAAAAAAATTTAATGTCATAATATCACTGTTCCTTTTTAAAATCTATTTCTAAACCAGTATAAATGTAGAATTGTATATGTATGTTTAGAACATTCATCTAAAAACTGACGGTATGTTCAGTCTGAGTTGGTTACCCCCCCCCCCCCCCCCACATCATCACCAGAACGGCACAGGCTACTCTCTACCAAACTTCAACATTTTGTCCCACATGCAAGTGGTCGATTTAACTTAAGTATTTTAAAAAATGTACAGTTTATATAAGGCCGCGGTCTTTTTAGGTGAGTTTTCGGTCACTTTAAACTCAATTATTGAGATAACTCAAATTTTCCCATTAAAAAAAATAATGAACATCAAACTTTGTTAAGAATAATTTCCCTGGAACTCACCTTCAAGTACCCGATCTAATAGGTGTGAGTAACAAACAAACCAAATATCCATCACTTTGCTTTTATAAATATAGATCAGTTTTATTTTGGAGATATTAATTTATATTTTTACACATCCCCATATAGGTCAGAGCTTGTCCACTTTTATAAGGTGGGGTTGAGTAGCAAGACGCACGTGCTACCCAAAAAGAACTGGACACTGTACACTCACGGCGACATTAGAAAAATGCTTGGCCATCAGAACCAAACCATCGACGTCATCAAGATGGACATCGAATGGTCGGAGTGGGAGGCGATTCCTGAAATGGTAGCCAGTGGTCAGTTGACCCACGTCCGTCAGTTCCTGGTGGAGTATCACGTGAGGTCCAAGGACCGGAACTACCTGTTCAGACTCAAGGCCATGCAGGAGCTAGAGAAAGCCGGTTTTAAGCGGTTTTACGTGCATAAAAACCCGGCTTGCGGCATTAAAGTGTCGGGTTTTCCCACAAAAAGAACACAGTGCTATGAGGTACACTATATCAGGAGGTAGACGATGGGACAATTGGGCATCGTTTGTAGTGAAACGTGGCTATGTTTTAAATATTTAATTTGGTATTTTATAAGTTTAGTGTGTTTTTTTTTAATTATGAGATGTTAATATAACGTAGGTTCTAGTTATGCATTTATTGAGAGGTTAAGCTGTTTAATTTCATTTCTTTTTCCCTACAATTATTTTAACAGACCTATTTTAGGAAACTCCGAAATTTCATTCAGCATGTAAAAAAATAGATGTTTTTTTTCATTTTTCATTGATTTAAAAATATTTTGTGTTTATTTTGTTATATTAGTTATTAAAACATTTCTCATACATTGGCCTTCAGACAGTCTTGCGAGTTTTGAGTAATTATTAAACTGGTTTAAACGGATTGATACATACATATGCAACTATTCCTTTAAAAAAGCTCAGGATAAAAAACTTCATCGAGCACCATAGTACAGTTCTGTTACAAGGATTTAAAGTCGTAATATTTTACAGATGTATAAAAACGCTTAATGTTTACAAGCATTTAATCACAGAAAAAACATAAAATAGAATGGTTTTCATTAGAATATTGCGCTAGTATGTTTTGGCACATTGCTCAATACAAATATAACACAAATGTTTTTATCATGTCAATGTTTAGATGTGAATGATAAAGTGAAGTAGAGTTCACTTATTTCTTTGTCCTCAGCATATGAAGGGATAGTGTGGTCAGAGACATGCTCGGCCGGAATCGGTGTTTTTAAAATAAAAAACGTCTTTTTGAATGTAGGGTCTGGTTATTGTGTGATGATAAGTGACAGACGTTATGTCATTTATAGATGACCGCCGAAACCCACAGTTATCTAACTAGATAACGGGTAGTCTAGTATACTATTATAAACACAAGTTTACATGTTTGATAATTCATTTTTTTTTTGTTTGTCTGTATTGTTACAGGAGAGAATCTGCATTATGTATAGAGCTGTAAAATAGTATTTATCAAGGGAACAATGTTCTTTTCTAAACACACTGTTAATCACAAACTAATTTAAAGACGTTAATAAATTTATTGATATATTCATCAATAGATTAACCAAATTAATTATAAAAGTTCAGAACAATGAGTTTACTTATAGTGAACATTAAAAAAAAAAATTGAAAAAACAATAATTAATAATTGACATGATGACGTCTTCTTTTTTTTAAACGATAGAACATGTTGTCTGAGAATTAGCGGGACACTGAGCAGGTGAAATATAGTTGGGTAGGTGTAGAGTTTACTGGTGTCGTCAGCATATGAAGGGATAGTGTGGTCAGACCCATGCTCAGCCGAAATCGGTGTTTTTAAAAGATAAAAAACGTCTTCTTAAATGTGGGGTCTGTTTATTTTGTGATGAACCCCGAAACCCACAGTTATCTAACTAGATAACGGGTAGACTAGTATCCTTTAATATTTAAAAAAATTGAATTTTACGGTTTAATTTTTGTTGCAGGGAATATAAGTGACATGACTGATGCTCTTATAGAAAGATTATTGTACAACAAGACTGGATTAATGGCCGAGTTAAGAAAGCCCAAAAAGCTTAATGCCAGATAAGTCCCCAGAGGCAGGTGAATGTCGTAAAAGCTTTTGATCAGATAATAAAACGCTAGAGGCAACCAGCAGAGGCTGAAACACAGGACGATCTCTCCGATTGTCTTTACGGCCCTTAAGCTGCTCGTACTTCCTCCCGCAGGCGCTCTGACGCTCTTCCGGTGACCCAACGTTTCTTTTTTAATGTCTTTGTGTTGTATGTCTTCTCCATTCTTACAACAATTACCACTGACGTCTTCTCCATTCATAAATTTATCATCAATAGCGTCTTCTTCAGCACGACTCACGTTTTCTTCACCCTTACAGCCAACATGACTGACGTCTTCATCTTTACAGCCATCACGACCGACGTCTTCTTTATTCCTAGAAGCTTTATGACAGCATAGATCTGAGTGTTCTATGTCAGATTCTGTGTTTGTAGGAATCTTTTGAATACCACACGTTTCTCCACTGTTGCTTTTTATATATGTTGAGGTACATAAACTTCTCTGTGTGTTTAATACAACATTCTTTCCAACATGATTTTTAGTAATTTTGTTAATTGGTGATTTTGGATTGAAAGAATCTTCATTTTGCTTGCTTTCTTTCTGGTTAGACTGGTTAAACCCGAAGAAGTGTTTCCTCCTGCTATTAAATCTGTAGACCTCCAAGAGGATGAGAAAATACAAAACGTAAACAAATGACATCGGGAGATTTGCCAAAACCCCCATGGAGATTTTCGTTGCCAGACTTGAAGAACGCTCACAAGATTGGGCGGAGGTGGTTGAATTGTTGGTCGTCTCGCCGGACATAGCGTCTATAGATAAAAACAGTAAATAAATCAGTGTAGGCAATGTCCAGCATAGAGCTAGCATGACCCAAGTCACCTTCGGGGGTAGCGCCTTGTACACCAGCGGCTTGCATACAGCCAGGTACCTGTCGGTTGCCATGACGACCACGTGGTAGATGGAGACGGTGCAAAAGTTGACGTCGAGGACGTACCTGGCACAGTTCCAGGAAAAATCGAGAATGTTTTCCCCATTGGTGATCAAGTCCGGAATGTACAGGGGCATGACGACAAGACCGACGACAAAATCAACGACGGACATTGACGTCATCAGCAACATGGCCGCCGTTGACCTCTTGACCTTGTTTGTCTGTCCGTTGTGTTTACGTTGTACATGTGCGTACACGACAGCTGTGATGACAACACCGTTGGCAAAGACGGTGAAAACCGTTATAAGGATAGCGACCATAGCAAACACAAACACGATATTTGGGTTATCGGATATTCTGTCATAGTCTGCCATGCTTGAAAAGAATGACTTCACAGTAGTTTTCCGAAATCTGAAATAAACTTAATGAAAGTATTTGCCATGTTGAATAAATAATGTTCTAAATCATTTGGAATTTTAGAGATAGATTTATTCCTAAATACTACTGAATATTTTTATCTACGTGTTGTTATTATTGGGGTCTTCAACTTAGATGTTGGGGTCTTGTTGATACTGGGATGAAGGGGTCTTGTTGGTACTGGGTGGTGGGGTCTTGTTGGTACTGGGATGAAGGGGTCTTGTTGGTACTGGGATGATGTGGTCTTGTTGGTACTGGGATGAAGGGGTCTTGTTGGTACTGGGATGAAGGGGTCTTGTTGGTACTGGGTGGTGGGGTCTTGTTGGTACTGGGATGAAGGGGTCTTGTTGGTACTGGGATGAAGGGGTCTTGTTGGTACTGGGATGAAGGGGTCTTGTTGGTACTGGGTGGTGGGGTCTTATTGGTACTGGGATGATGGGGTCTTGTTGGTACTGGGATGAAGGGGTCTTGTTGGTACTGGGATGAAGGGGTCTTGTTGGTACTGGGATGAAGGGGTCTTGTTGGTACTGGGATGATGGGGTCTTGTTGGTACTGGGATGATGGGGTCTTGTTGGTACTGGGATGATGGGGTCTTGTTGGTACTGGGATGATGGGGTCTTGTTGGTACTGGGATGAAGGGGTCTTGTTGGTACTGGGATGAAGGGGTCTTGTTGGTACTGGGTGGTGGGGTCTTATTGGTACTGGGATGATGGGGTCTTGTTGGTACTGGGATGAAGGGGTCTTGTTGGTACTGGGATGAAGGGGTCTTGTTGGTACTGGGATGAAGGGGTCTTGTTGGTACTGGGATGAAGGGGTCTTGTTGGTACTGGGATGATGGGGTCTTGTTGGTACTGGGTGGTGGGATCCAACTGGGTTGATGGGGTCTTGTTGGTACTGGGTGGTGGGGTCTTTACTGGGATGATGTGGTCTTGTTGGTACTGGGATGATGGGGTCTTGTTGGTACTGGGTGGTGGGATCCAACTGGGTTGATGGGGTCTTGTTGGTACTGGGTGGTGGGGTCTTTACTGGGATGATGTGGTCTTGTTGGTACTGGGATGAAGGGGTCTTGTTGGTACTGGGTGGTGGGGTCTTGTTGGTACTGGGATGAAGGGGTCTTGTTGGTACTGGGTGGTGGGGTCTTGTTGGTACTGGGATGATGGGGTCTTGTTGGTACTGGGTGGTGGGGTCTTGTTGGTACTGGGATGATGGGGTCTTGTTGGTACTGGGATGAAGGGGTCTTTACTGGGATGATGTGGTCTTGTTGGTACTGGGATGATGTGGTCTTGTTGGTACTGGGATGATGTGGTCTTGTTGGTACTGGGATGAAGGGGTCTTGTTGGTACTGGGATGATGGGGTCTTGTTGGTACTGGGTGGTGGGGTCTTGTTGGTACTGGGATGAAGGGGTCTTGTTGGTACTGGGATGATGGGGTCTTGTTGGTACTGGGATGAAGGGGTCTTTACTGGGATGATGTGGTCTTGTTGGTACTGGGATGATGTGGTCTTGTTGGTACTGGGATGAAGGGGTCTTGTTGGTACTGGGATGATGGGGTCTTGTTGGTACTGGGATGAAGGGGTCTTGTTGGTACTGGGATGAAGGGGTCTTGTTGGTACTGGGATGAAGGGGTCTTGTTGGTACTGGGATGAAGGGGTCTTGTTGGTACTGGGATGATGGGGTCTTGTTGGTACTGGGTGGTGGGGTCTTTACTGGGATGATGTGGTCTTGTTGGTACTGGGATGAAGGGGTCTTGTTGGTACTGGGATGAAGGGGTCTTGTTGGTACTGGGATGAAGGGGTCTTGTTGGTACTGGGATGATGGGGTCTTGTTGGTACTGGGTGGTGGGGTCTTTACTGGGATGATGTGGTCTTGTTGGTACTGGGATGAAGGGGTCTTGTTGGTACTGGGATGATGGGGTCTTGTTGGTACTGGGATGAAGGGGTCTTGTTGGTACTGGGATGATGGGGTCTTGTTGGTACTGGGTGGTGGGGTCTTTACTGGGATGATGTGGTCTTGTTGGTACTGGGATGAAGGGGTCTTGTTGGTACTGGGATGATGTGGTCTTGTTGGTACTGGGTGGTGGGGTCTTTACTGGGATGATGTGGTCTTGTTGGTACTGGGATGAAGGGGTCTTGTTGGTACTGGGATGATGTGGTCTTGTTGGTACTGGGATGAAGGGGTCTTGTTGGTACTGGGATGATGTGGTCTTGTTGATACTGGGATGATGGGGTCTTATTGGTACTGGGATGATGTGGTCTTGTTGATACTGGGATGAAGGGGTCTTGTTGGTACTGGGATGAAGGGGTCTTGTTGGTACTGGGATGAAGGGGTCTTGTTGGTACTGGGATGAAGGGGTCTTGTTGGTACTGGGATGATGGGGTCTTGTTGGTACTGGGATGAAGGGGTCTTGTTGGTACTGGGATGAAGGGGTCTTGTTGGTACTGGGATGATGGGGTCTTGTTGGTACTGGGATGATGGGGTCTTGTTGGTACTGGGTGGTGGGGTCTTGTTGGTACTGGGATGAAGGGGTCTTGTTGGTACTGGGATGATGTGGTCTTGTTGGTACTGGGATGAAGGGGTCTTGTTGGTACTGGGATGAAGGGGTCTTGTTGGTACTGGGATGATGGGGTCTTGTTGGTACTGGGATGAAGGGGTCTTGTTGGTACTGGGATGAAGGGGTCTTGTTGGTACTGGGATGAAGGGGTCTTGTTGGTACTGGGATGAAGTGGTCTTGTTGGTACTGGGATGAAGGGGTCTTGTTGGTACTGGGATGAAGGGGTCTTGTTGGTACTGGGATGAAGGGGTCTTGTTGGTACTGGGATGATGGGGTCTTGTTGGTACTGGGTGGTGGGGTCTTGTTGGTACTGGGATGATGGGGTCTTGTTGGTACTGGGATGATGGGGTCTTGTTGGTACTGGGATGATGGGGTCTTATTGGGTACTGGGATGATGGGGTCTTGAAACTGCTTGGTGGGGTCCTTAACTGGGATGATATTGTTGGTTTTAACTGGGATGTTGGGGTATTGGAACTAGGTAATGGGGTCTGATACTGGGATCTTGGGGTCTTGGTATATGTAACGTAGTAGGGTATATTGTTATTGAGGCATTTTGTGATGCCTGGTGTAGTGGGCATTGTAAAACTGAAGAAAGTAGATGACAGCGAGGAAGAGTTTACACGGTAGGTGAAGGGAGAGATGAAATGAATCAATACAATGCTAAGATCTAAAAACCTAAAGCTGATAAAGTAGCAAAAGGTAAACGAAATGTTAACTTACTGTACTGTTAAGAAATTCCTTGATGTAAAAGAATTTTGACAGCAACAGAGAGTAACGGAGGCCGCTCTACACATTTGACCAGACTAATGGCACAACCATCGCTCAACGTAAAACATTAAGAATTATTGACACAATCATTGGCCGAACAGATTAAACTATTGACATGATAAACGGTGGAATGTAAACAGAAATCCATTTTGTTGGAAAAGGGAGTCTCGTTATCTTTGGTAAATTGACATTAATTGACAATTTTAATTGCGTTTTGTAACATGTTATTATGATAAAAACACGATTTGAACAAATTAAGTTTGAAAGTAAGAATCAGATAGCATAAAATAAAATAATCTTTTGCAATACGAAACCATTTTCATCATGATAAACACAAAAATTGCATTAGACTTCGTTGTGTCCTGGATCGTTGTTTTTGTACCGGCTTTCAAGGTGTGCTTTTTGTTGCTCTTTTGTTGTAAAGACGGAGGAAGTAAAGCACCGCTCTCAATATTATTAACATTACTATAATAAACAATTAAGAACTGCTCTTAAATTTTATTGAGAGTAATTATTAGAAAATATTTCCCCGTCGAACACATTTTGTCCAAACTGTTTTAATTATTTTCTGGATACAAATAGGTCTTTATGAGACTGAATGTTCCATTAAGAATTTTCAGGATGATTTTTTGGAAATACGCCTTACCTATCAAGTAACACGCCTCACCTAACCAGTCACACGCCTCATCTTACCAGTAACACGCCTAACCAATAAAATAACACGCCTCAGCTAACAAGTAACACACCTCAGCTAACCAGTAACACACCTCACCTAACCAGTAACGCGCCTCACCTAACAAGTAACGCGCCTCACCTAACACGTATTTCGATGAACAACTACCCAATGAAACGAATGAACCCGAAACTCTTCTTTTAAAGACAAAATATCTCAACTACCTAGGCGTAACAACCATGCCTAATTACGAACTACATGACGCCTTTGAAGATCTTGAAACTCTTGCAAACAGTTTTATCCAAACCCTAGAGATGACTGGTTTAAAAACAATAGTATTACGTCGCTTACTCGATCCTCCCCATGCGAAATAACATGAATTTAAAGAAATTAAACTTATCAAACAACAATATTGTGATGATCATAATGTTTTGCTAATATCCTTCCAAATAGTCTTAATGAAAGCTTTGTCGCTTTGGATATTCCTTACATATTTTAGCAACCAGTGATTTTATCAAATTAGTGGGTTTTTTTTTTTTAACTGCATTTAAAAGCTTTTTATGATACGTTTTTAATATTTATTTTATTGTTCACTTTTAGTAAGTTGTTCTAAATAAAGTTTACACCCCGTAAGCTACAACTAAAAGTATTTTGTTTAAAATCCGACCAGTAGCTTGTGATCCGTAACAGACAACTGTCTACCTGTTCTTAGTTGTTGTTTTTTAAAATGTATTTCTATCACGTTAAAGGTTTAAACTGAATAGTTAGACACAATTTGAATGCCTTTATAGAATCATCGTGATCGAGTTTCTACAAATCGCATTTTGGTAGTAATTTGTACTCAAAACATAGCTGATGAATATTTTTAATAAAGTTAGCCTACTCTTTTTAAACCTACACGCCCTTTATATTTTTATTGAGCGAAGGAATAAAACCAAATAGTTCTAGTTTTCACTTTGAAATTAT